AAAACGCTTTTAATGAAGTAAAAAAAAAACACTTCTAATTAATTTTAAAAAAAGTATTTATAAAATGTTTTTTTATTTTATATATATAACTATGTATTTTTTATGAGAAATATTTAACTTTTGAACATATTAAACAAATAAAAAATATATAAAAAAATGTTGAAACAACGATTGAAAAGGTTTTTTAATGCGTAAATTAAATAGACTAAGCATTTTAGTTTGAGTTTTGTTTTAGTTGCGTTATATATATATATTGTTTTTTTTGTGTTTTTGCTTTAACTTAGTATTTTTTTTATTTTCTCTTTCGTTAATATTTATTATTTTTTTAAATTTTTTTTTCAAATAAGTTTAGGTAAGTTTTTGTAGCACATTTTTAAATTTTAAAAATATGCCGTGGTCAAATTGTTAAAACATTTTTTTTTTGCATTGTCATATAAAGACATGAAATTGCATGTCTTCCTGTGAAAGCTTACATTGTAAAGCCTACATGGATACATTTTTTTAGAAAAAAAATAATGCTTATGAGAACAAAAAATTAACGGGTACACTAAAACTTCTCTGATAATGCTTATGTCTCCTTAAGTGTTTGTTTTTTGTAAAATCTGTCCCCGTAAGTGAAAAAATATACAAAATATATATATATATATATATATATATATATATATATATATATATATATATATATATATATATATATATATATATATATATATATATATATATATATATATATATGTGACTTTTCTCATTAGTTAGCAAAGCTAATTATTGACAAATGATTGACGCACATTAAAATCATAATATCTCATACATAAAAATCACAACATTCTCATACATAATTGTGATACTTCCGGTCAGGAAGTGCTCTTTTCCCATTGAAAGTGAACTGAACAGGCTGTAACTCTGTCTCACAATTTGTTGGATAGTTTTGATCAGCGCGGTGCATACTATTGTCATCTTCGCTGATGTCCAGGGAATTTATTCGAAAACTTTGATCTTCGATTGCGACGTGTTTTAAATTCGTTTCAGGAGGTTTAACCAGTGTCAGATAGTAATCGTCATCAGTTGTTATATCTTCTTCGTTTTTGTCTACAGGACAATGCTGCAGATATGAAAAATGTTGTGGCAATGTATGTCCGTTTACTTCAGCTATTAAACCATTATGCAGTGCTACTATGCTTCCTTTTAACCATCGCTGTGTACATGGCGTCATATGCTTAGGCTTCACCCATACTTTATCGCCAACTTTCCATCCTTGACACTTATTCAGAGACTTGTGTTGATTCGACTTGGTCGATTCCAGGTATTCAGACGCATTTGTTTTGTTAGCAAAACAAATGCCATGTTCTGATGGTACGTTATTGATTAATAAGACAGACATGGGTATTCCACATTTTGCTCTTACAATTGTTCTTTTTACTGTCCAATGAACTCTTTCAACAATTCCCGATGGTTTTTCAACAACTCAATAAATAATTCTTATTTCGACTTCAACGCCATAGCTTGCATAGTCTGATATCTAAACGACTTAGAATTATCTAGGAGAATTTCGGAAGGAGGTCCAAGCGATGACCATATTGTTTCTAATGATTGAACAACCATTGTTGCACTTTTGTCGCTTAATGATGTCCACAACATGTATCTGTTTGGGCCACAATCAATACAGGTAAGATACAGCAATGAATCAATGTGAGTAACATCCCAGGCTACTCTTTCCCACACTTTGCTGACAGCAAGATTTCCTTTATCCCTTGAAATCACATTAGGATTAATTGAATTGCATTCATCACATTCAGCTACAATTTGTTTCACTGTGTCTCTGCTATTGAGTGAACTTTTTTAATCTGCTGATGATCGTGCTTATAAATCATAATACATTCTTGCATCGCAACTTTGTTTTTTATCCATTTTGTTGGCACTCGAGTGAGTTCATCTGCGATATTTTTTGTTGTAGGTACCCATGTAACATTTGCACTTATGGCATAATCCTCTACCAATTTTCCAAATATTTGAAGCTTTCGTCAGATTAGCATTCCACATTGCCCAGCACATTTTACAGGTTTGTCACTAATCAATTCAGAATTTAACCAACTGAATGCACTATTAGAATCAGTTTTGATAGAGACGTCACTTGAGTTCCATTTCAATGCCATTGAGACCTTCAATACATGCATCCAATTCAGCCATGTTGATATGCATTGCATCAGACTTTGGTTGAAGCCAAGTTGCATCTTCTATTTTTTTGTCACCTTGCATTATTACAACTCGTTTTGCCAGCGAACTTGCATCACACCATACAATTAAAGATGTATTTGGTTTGACATTCCACACGTCTTTTGGTGGATCACATTTGATAACTTTATCCACGACTTCCTGCATCATTTCATTTACGCACTTATTCGGAATAGGTGATTGCGATTCTCAAACATCCAGCAACTGGTAAATTAGCAACTAGATTACCACATAATGAGAATATCTCCCTCTTGGTGAGCACATTTTT